CCCAGCCATCCATCCACTCACACACCCATCCACCCAGCCAATCATCCACTCACCTGTTCATCCACTCACATACCCACTCATCCACCCAACCAGCCATCCCCAGTCACCTATCCACATAACTATCCACCCACTCACCCACCCAGTCACCCAGCCAGTCATCTACCTACCTACCTACTTATCTATCCACTCAGCCATCCACCCAGTCATCCATCCATCCATCCATCTATCTATTCTGTGGACAGATCCTGTGTAGCCAGGTGGGGAGCCTGCACACGGGGTCCCTGAGCTGAGATTTAAGGACAGAGTAGTTCGTTAAACAAAAATGGGGTGGGGGTGATTCCTGGGTAAAGGCAGCTTTGGTATTAAGTGGCGACTGATTCAAGTGAGTATGTGGGGGCATGGTGAGCCAGGAGTCTGAGGAGAAAGGAAAGCAGGCAGGGCCCAGGCTCGGGAGCTGAGGAGTCTGAACTCCTTCCTGAAGAAAGTGAAGCAGAGCAGTCACAAAGTCAGCTTTCTTCTCAAATTGTTATTGGTATAACTGAGATTATAGGATTATTTTTTATTTTTATTATTCTTTTAAATTATGCATTTACCATGGCAATACTTTTTTTTTTACATTTGCTTACTATCATAAATATTTATAAAAATTGTTTTGCTTCATTCTATGCTTATTTGACTGTGGCACACTTTTTATTCAACTACTTTTGTATTCTTGAGTAGTTTATCTGTAAATAACTACTTTTCAGGAAGCTCTCATGGTTACTATAGCAGATGCGGCCAGCACCTCGCTCATATTCCCCAGAACCAGCCAGAGTCCTGGTCACCTGAAACCACGCCCCTCCAGGTCAAAGGCTTCCCGCATCTTTCTGCCCGAGTTGAGTTGCTTCCCGGCCCCAGGGAGTGTGGGCCTACTTAGAGAAGGCTGGAAGTGCCGGAGAGTTCACACACAGTGAGCGGTTCTCCATGATTAATGACAGGAGCAGGGGGATCAGTCCTCCAGCAGCTTCCTCATCCTGGAGGGGAATGGATCTGAGGTTTGTTACACACAGTCTCTCAGAGGTTCTGAGGAAGACAAGCCCAAGGTGCCACAGCAGTAACCCGCTTATAAACGCACACTTTCCTGTCTTTCCTCTTTCCTGTCTAAACTCACCACTGAGATCCCCCACCCCCAAATAAACTATCTGTACCTATATCATTGTATCAGTGTATGCTTTTGGGGAAATCCAAACTACAAGAAGTAATAACCTAGGAATTCTCATATATCTGAGTATATCTTTATTTTGACTTCACAATGGAGGGCAAGTTGGCTGCGTGTCGAATTTAAAATTCACATTCTAACTTTGGACATTAATGTTACAGAAAAGTCTGTAGAAACTGGTTTCTTTGTTTTCTGCTGTTAATAGTATCATTTTCATATCCTTAAAATTAAAAATTTCATGAAGCTATTGTAGGCATTAAAATGTTTTAAATCTTTTAGCCGGGTGTCTGCTGCACCCGTTTTAGGAAATGGAGATCCTCCTTTGCTGTCTAAGGAATGGCTTCTGTTCCAATTATTCTGGAACCATTTTCTCTTTGCTGTTTTCCAGTTTCCACCTTCCACAATATAGTCCTCACTGTCATCCTTTTTTATTGCTTCATTCTTTTTCTTCAAATTCTCAGAGCTTCTCAAAAACACCTCTACATCATTAAATCAATTTTCTGTCCTGCTGATTCTGCTCTTTCCTGAGTATAACATATTTTAATTCTGCTGCTGATTTCCTGGTTTCATTGTAACGTTTCTTTATCCCACCCGTAACATGTATTTTTTCTTGCCTCTCAGTTCATTCCATTTTCTTACAGTCTATTGTTCTACTATCTGATCTTTCACTGTGTTCATTTTTTTTGACTTTCATCAAGAACAAAAGTAGATGCTCTGTAAAATTTACTTTTGTTTTCTATTAATAATCTTTTTAAAACTTATGCTTTCCCTCTGTATCTTAGTCATGCTTTTCTTAGTTTACCCATTAGAATCTTTTCGCAGGCCCATGTTGGTCCTGTTAGGCCTGTGGGTTGTTAAGCAGGTTTGGTGGGCTCTCCTGGTGCCCCTAACTAGCCACTGGGTACTGTCAGAATCCTGCTCGGGGCTGGGTGATGCCATTTACATCCCCTGTTTATCAACCTTGCAGCATGGCTGGAGTCCTGGAAGGGTGGTTTCTGTTTCTTTTCCCTTCCTTTTCCTGCCACCCTGAGGGTCATCTTCCCATCTGCTTTTCTGGCTGGCCCTGCCTCCACAGCAGCTACAAGACATCTCTGTGCTCCATCACCATTCTGGAGCTAACATTCAACACATCCCGAAGAGCCCGATACCCTGTCAAGTTTCTGTCAAACTGAAACCTAGGGTTCCTTGTGACAAAGATTTTTCAAAGGTTGCTGGAATTCAACGGCAAAGAGATCAAAATGATGTGCTCCCATATTTCCCATGGCCAGCTACGGTGGCCAATGGCTTGTACCTGTGGCCTTCTCAGGCACGTTGTCTTTGACCTCCTAGAGCCTCCTTGTCCAGTATGCTTGGGAGGCTACTCACCACCCCTGCGTCTCCCCAGTGGCCAGTGACGATACAGGGGTAGAAAATGATGCTATCCCCAGCAGCTTCAAGGGGGGACAATTCTGCAGAGTGATTTATGCTCCAGGGCTTCCCCACTTCTTCCCAGCTCATAAATCAGACCAAGGCTAGCTTTGACCCGACAGCACACCCCTCCCAGCCCTTCCCCTGCCCGCCCCGATCCCTCTCCCCTCTTCTCCTGAGAGTGCTCCTCCAATAAATCACACACATTGGTCCTCATGCAGTGAAGAAGGGATGGGACAAGAGTGCAAAAAGTCCCTGGTGTATAGTAGGTGGTCAAAATTGTGACTTCACATCCTCTGAAAAGTTACAGAGCTAAGGATATGACCATTTACTGGTACTAATCTCTGTAAAAGACATTCATCACAATTTTACTTATCATAAAAACTGGGAATAATCCAAATACAGAATAAGAGGAATTTTTCAGGTAAATCCATAGTATAACCATATGGTAGAATATTATGCAATCTCCAAGTTAAAAAGAAAAACATGGTAAAGGGTGAGCAAAGCAAGATACAGAGGGCTACTGAGTTTATAAAATAGTAAGACTAAGTCCTATATACTGACAGAGTGGGGTCAGCTCTGAACTTTCTAGCAGCCAATAAAGAGAATGAAGCCTAGTCAGTCACAAGGTAAAAACAAGCCAAAAAGGTCAGGCAAAGCACAGCTATTTCTAAGTCTGAGGCTGGAAAGAAATTCCTTGCATGGGTCCTGAGTGAGAGAAATCTGTGTAATGTAATGACCCAGTCACCAACTACATCTTTTCAATTACCATAGAGACGAGTTCCACAGGTCAAATCCCCAAGGAAGCCCCTCTCTCCGACCTACCATCCCACCCTGCACAGGGAGATGGCATCACAGCACATGTGATTCTGTAAAAGATACTCTGTGTGTGGCCAGCGATACTTGAACCTTACAGACACTTGGTTCTCTCCTGACTGGGCTTAATCCAGGGGTAATTTTTAGGGTACAGAAAGTGGAGGGAAAGCGCACCCCTCCTGCAGTCCTTGATTGCTTTTGTGGCCTCCCTCAACCCTTGAGCTCCTGAAAGCTACGAAGCAGCAGGGAATCTGAGATGACTTCTTGGGAAGTTTTGGAGTGCCTCCGCTGTTGGTAGCTCTGAGCATTTCAGCTGTCCCCTAAGCTGGGCAGGCTTGGCACAATCCTGTCAACACTATTGAGCCCACACAATATGTGTCTGAACATATGCCATTGACCTGCTCAATGTATGCCCAGTGCTCATCAGTGGGCAGAGTGAAGGTTTTCCGCAGAAAGTGACTGTGGTTCCATTTTAACATAAAGAACAAGGCACCCCTGTTCAAGGCTGTAAATATTAAAAAGCTGCAAGCAGTCCCAGCTGAACAGCTATCAACAGTTAGAGCAACGCTGGATAGAACGGTGTCGACTTTTGTCTACTTGTTCCCCCTTGTCTGCAGGGAAGCCTGTTCCACTTCCTCTGAGAGGTAGTACACTCGCGGTGATTACGGGTAGGGGAGAATACCAGCACTGTACCTTTGAGTCACACTACATAAACTTCACTTCAAATTAATTCACTCTAAAAAAACTCACTCAATTTGTGGAAATAATTTAACTACCTCAATTCATTCAAATATGTTAGGAAGGCCGGGGCAGTGGGTCACACCTGTAATCCCAGCACTTCAGGAGGCTGAGGCAGGCGGATCACTTAAGGTCAGGATTTCGAGAACAGCCTGGACAACATGGCAAAACCCTGTCTCTACCAAAAAATACAAAAATTAGCCAGGCGCACACCTGTAGTCCCAGCTAATTGGGAGGCTGAGGTGGGAGGATCACTTGAACTCAGGAGGTGGAGGTTGCAGTGAGCCGAGATTGTGGCACTGCACTCCAGCCTGGGTGACAGAGCGAGACTTGTCTCCAAAAAAAATAAATAAATAAATAAGTAATCCAAAACACAGGCCAAAGCAGTGACCCTCTAGTAGAAACATCAAGTACATCATATATAATACCTAGCACAACAAGCAGTGATCTGCCCTTACTTTCACAACTACTGACCTAAAACTGGAATTCTCTAGAACATGTGTTTGCTGGAGACAGCAACTGTACCATCTCCAAGAAGGGGCCAGATGTAAAACCATAGGGAGAGGATTCCACAAGAGAGAAGGGATGGGAGACTATGTAACTACAGACACTTCTCTGGCACTCTATGGGTATTTACAGCTATACCAACATATTTCTAAGGGTATTTATGGCTATACCAACATATTTTCTAAGTCCAGGATGAAAAAAGTTCTAATCATTCTAAATGATAGTCCACAGAAAGCAATAGTGTTTGTAGAATCATTGCCTATTCCAGGCTATAATGAAAGCCGGCAAGTGTACCAGATGGAACAACCGCTCTTTACAGGGATGCCCTCCTTACCTTCTGCCACATGTTGATGAAGAAGAGCTCCCGGGAAACATTGAAGGACACGTTGGCGTCATAGGCATCATCCCCGAGGTTGGAGATAGAGATGTTTAGGGAGATGTTCTTCACAGCCCCCAAAGCGAGATACAGGGTTTTCTCATCCATACTGTAATGGAAAATAGACAGCAATGAATGCCCTGAGGCCTACACTAATATAACATGAGACACAGGGGGTAGTTGAAGGTGGCGGGCAGAAACTGAGATTGGAACTACAAGTTCCAGGAGCCCCATTAACCAGCCATGGGTCCTCGGGCAATCAGTTAGCTCTGGGGCCTCAGCTTCCTCATGTAAAGCACAGGGTTCTACCTTGCCTAACTCACTAGACTGTTTAGAGGCTCACAGGAAATCCTATATATCAAACTTAAAAAACTATAAGGCATTTAATAACCTAAGCGTGGGATTCATTTGTACATGAATTCATTTGGTTATTTTTGAGTGCCTACCACGTGCCAGCCACTACTCTGTGCTAGGGAAGAAGCAGCAAAGAAAACAGAGTCCTTGTCGCTTCAGGGAGAGAGAAAACACACACAAAAAGCAGCAAATATGTGTGTCAGATTGTGATAAGAGCTGTGGAGAAAACTTACAAAGGGTAAAGAGGATAGAATGTGCCAGACTTGCAAGGGAGATGGGGTGCAATTTACAATAAGGTGATCAGGGAAGCCTCACTGATGAGGTGACCTTTCAGTACAAACCCAAAGAAAAAAGGGGAGCAAGAAACACAGGTACGTGGGGACTAGCAAAGGAGAAGTCCCTGAGGTGGGCGTGTGCCTGGCACGTGCAGGTAACAGCAAGGAGGTCAGTGCAGCTGGAGAGGAGTGATAAAGAGAGCAGGAAGGAATGAGCTCACAGGGGCCAAGGGAGTTGAGGCAGCAGATCCCACAGGGCCTTGTGGGCCAGCATGGGGACCTTGGTTTGACCCTTGGAAGCCCCTTCAGGACTCTGAGCAGAGCAGCAGTGTGACTGGATGTTCATGTTTAAAGGAAACTCGCACTGGCTGTGATGTGAACGGTCTGTGGAGTGGCCAGGAAAGGAACAGGGGGCCTGAGTAGGAGGCTCTTGTGACAATCCAGGTGTGAGAAGATGAATATGGAGGCCAGGGTGGTGGCAGCCAAGGGGGTGAGATGGGGTCATATTCTAGACACATTTCAAAGGTCATGCCAACAGATTTTCCTCATGGACTGGATGAAGGGTGTTAGGAAAAGAGGAGTCAAGGACTGCTCCAAGGATTTTGGATTCAATAACTAGCAGAGAAAAGTTGTCATTTATTGAGATGGGAAAGACTGGGTCGAGAAGGTTCAGCAGAGAAAACCCAAATGCCTATTGGATTTTAAAGGAGATATTAAGGCAGGTGGATGCATGAGTCCGGAGTTGAAGGAGGATTCTTGGCTAGAGATACATTTGGGACAGACTAGATACGATCACTAGGAAATGAGTATAGATAGAGATGAGGACTCACATTTACAAGTTGAAGATGAGGAGGTATCAGCGAACAAGACTGGAAAAGCATGGCTAGGGCAGGAAGAGGAAAATTGATCGAGAAGGCATCCACATGGTCACAGAGGACAAGCTCAAGAAAGGAAGGATCAATTTTGTCCAATGTGGCAGACAGGTCACAACAATGGGAATAATTAGAACTGGCCATTGGAATCAGCCTTCTGGAGGTCACTGGTGACCTTGATAAGAACTGCTGAAGTGGTGTGATGGGAGGAAAGCCTGACTTGAGAGAGTTTCAGAGATGTAGGAGGAGAACAAATGGACGCAATGAGGACAGACAACTATTTGGAGGAGTTTTTCTCTAAAGGGGAACAGAGAAGTTGGATGGTAGCTGGTCGGGGAAGTGGGCTCCAGGGAGCTTTTTGGCTCTTTTTTATTAAGATGGGAATTACCATAGTATATGTGCATGCTAATGGGAATGATACATTAGAGAAGGAACAATTAATGAAAACATGACAGGAGATAATTGTTGGGGTCTGATGAACGACTGGAAGGGCTGTTCTTGCCCGGCTAGAGGTGAGCTGAAGATGCATTAATAGATGGGTGGTAGGAACATGCAGGAATCCCTCTGTGATTGCTTCTCTTTTGCAGTGAAATAGAAGTAGGGTCAAAGACTGGGAGTTGGAGGAGAAAGAGGTGAATGTTTGAGGTGTGAGGAGACGGAGGGAAATGGGGGCCCAGGAGAGGGGTGAGTGAATGGGGTGAGGATGAGAACATTGATACGGCTGAGGCTGAAGGTGACAAGGATGAAGATGCATGAGAGACTGATGGTTATTATGTGATGTGACCTTTGAACAAAATAAATCCATGTGAGTGGCCAGTTTTAACTGGACAACCAGTTAATGGAAGACGTAATTAAGGATACAAGGGTTTGTATAATGAACGGTTGTTATTTTTGGCCACTCAGCATCCTGACATCCTATCGTTTTGGAAGAATCTCAAGATAAGTGGGAGGGGCACATTAGCAGAAAGGGGACAGATCCTCTCTTTCCTCTCTTCTTGATGACTAGGGTGTGGGTACTTGCCTAAGTGAAATCATGTGATCTAAAGGTGATCAAGTGGCAGTGATGTGGTAACAGATGCTCCCACCCAGGGCTACAAATTTTGAGGGTTGCACAGAGACACCAGGGATCATCTGAAGGAGCTACAGAGCAGTAGAGAGCCCAGAGGTGGAACCCTGGGCTGAGTCTTGCCTCTTCTGTTTCCTGTCTGTGTTGGTTCCCCAGCCTTCTTGCCTATGCTCTGAACCACCCCACATCCTTTTAATGAATTCCTTTTCTGCTTGAATTAACCAGCATATGTTTTTGTTGTTTGCAACCATTAATACAGCTAATATACCATGCAAAAGAAGAGAACTATTCAAAATCTCCATAGGCGAAAATACCTTGACATACTAATTTCTGGGGGGTAGAATCTTCATTACCCATCCGTGAAGAGAGGACCTCACTCTCCTGCATGTCTGGCACATCAACAAGAATAACATGTGCAATGAGAAATATGATGGCCTTGCTTTGGAAGCACGGGCTCTGAGGATCCAAACAAGATGTGAAAAATTAACTTAAGAGTTGCAAATTCTTGAATGGCCTCCAATAAATTAAGACCCTGATCTCAAGCTATTGTGGCAATTATTTATTATTGTTGGCCATTTTAATCTTAAACAGTGGATAGGTTATTTCTGTCCTTCTGTTTGTTTTTGGAAGATTAAAAGAATCAACCTCAGGCTTGAGTTATGAGAGAGCGCTAACCTAGCTTTATCTCAAGAAGGAAGTGGACAGGCATTCACAAGTATCCCTGACATCAGACAGTGTCCAAGGTTTCCATGGAATGTTTGGCAGGGAGACAGTATAGACGAGCCCAGGACCATGGAGGAGGGGCTGCCTTTTCATTCCAGTTTAGTTGTTCATGTGATCAGCCTCCTTTCCTTGTATATAAAGGGCAAGGGATCAGGCCAGGGACATCTAAACTTCTGCCAATCCCCAAACCTTGGGCCTCTGTCACTTAATCACACAGCAAAGTCATTCCCGGGATTTCAATGTCAAGTGATTCAAACACGGCTCTGTGATTAAGGGAAGCAGCCAGGCAACTTCCAGGGCAGAATGTGAGCTCAGATTTTTTTAGAGGAGCCTCAAAGCTGGGGTTTCATTCTTTCTCCAAAGCTAAAAAAAATCTTTGACTAAAACAGCACATTTCTGCTTCCAAAGTTATTTTTAGAAATGAAATGAAAATGTGATATGCCAGCATGATATTGGGTGTTGTCAAATATGTCATCTTTCTGAAACCTCACAACACTGTGAAAGGGTCTCGATGTTAGGCCCATATTTGAGAGATGAGGAAATTGAGATGCAGAGAGAGAAGATGCTGTGCTGGTATGAGAACCCAGCATTTCCTATCCCTTCAAAACTCGTTCCTCTCCACCAAAACCCACATTTCTCCAGCCCCCTGACTATCATGTCCCCAGGGGGTCCTTCCTGATCTCCCTGCCTGGGTGAAATAAATCCTCCCATTATGAGCCCTCCCCACCCCCATGTGCTCCATCAACCCTTCATGGCACTTATTGAAGTTGTGATTACGCATTTGTTTGTGGGGCTATTTTGGTTAAGGACTGTCTATCCCTCATTAGAATCTAAACACCGGGGGCAGGACCCTTCTCTGACTTTGCTTATCATTGAACTCCTAGAGACAGAGTTGTGCCTGGCACAGAATTTCTCAGGGAATAAAGTTCCCTGAATATCAGGGAGATTCTTCTTCAGTAAATAACTAAGCACCGTGGAATGTTCAGCATACAAACCCTGTGCCTGATTGTTTCCACCTTTCAGCAGGACTGTCAGAGAGGCTGGTCTCTCCTAGCAGGTGTTCAGTGAACACTTGAATGAATGAATATCCATGACATCCCCACAACAGATCATTAGCTCCCCCTTCACATTTTACAGATGAAGAAGTTGAGCCCCAGAAAGGAGAACCCACCCAACTGAGGTCATCCAGCCATGTAGGGTCTGAGCTGCAACTAGCAGCACACCTCCTTTGGCATGAAGGTTGTCCCAGCTATGGCTCTAATATCATCTCCATCTCAGTCAGGAAGGGCTTTGGCAAGAAAGTTTACTAATACCTGAAAGGAACAGGACTCCACAAAGACCAACCTCTCTTACAGTTGAAATAGTAAAACGATCAAGCATAGAGTTTTTGTGCTAAACACTGCAGGGGTGCTTATTTATTGAGGAACAGTGTTTCTAATCTTCAAGAAATTTTATTCCCTGAGAAATTTCCCCATTAATTTTAATTTGCTTGTGCAGTCTTTTAAGTGGGTTATATTACTTTGTACATGGACTGCTTTGCTGTGCTTTTATATGAAAATCCTTATTAGTAGTCAACATAAGATACAAAGTGTACTGTTTCTATAAAGCTTATCTTACAGCATGTATATAGCCTGCTGGAAATATATTGCTCATTTGTTTTTAAAAATCCTACCCAAGTACATCTCATAGCAGTCGGATTTTTTTGACTGTGTTATTGGGTTTGCACTTAAGTTTAGCACCAATTCATTCACTATACTCAATGGCTGATGTTACTGATGATATCCTGGCAGCTGTGTCAAGCCAGAAAATCTCTGTAGAA